CAACATTGAAATTTTTGCACTATTCACACACCTTACTTTGACTACGATTTTCTAATGATATATATAATCAAATTATTATGTATAAAATATTATTAAATTTCTATTAATGTGAACGTCCAAAATATTAACCTTTTTTAATGTTTACTAATACGTAATTAAATATAATTACAGTCAAAGTTGTGCGTTGGCAAACATGAAAGTCAAAGTGTTGCAACTTTTAAAGAACGAATGATAGTATATCCAAATATCCAAAACCACCAAAGAAACCATCCACCAGATAATAGTAGCACTACCCTAGACCACAGTTCTATATTTAACCGGATGTAGAGCCGAACACCACGGATTACTCCCGGGTGCTCGAAGTATTCAGAAATCGTTGATTACAATTTGACAAAAGATTTGATACAACACTTTTCAGAAATAGCCTTTATCACCACCACCAATAATATAGTTCACAGATTACTCCACTTGTCATTATAAACATGTAGTTCATAGCTTACACAATTATCATTATGAATTTCTAGTTCATAGGTTACTTACATATCACTTAACTTCAAAATACTTTATCATAATATTTCTTTCAGATTCATGTCTCAAAATCATTTGTCAAACATCTCCAATTCAAAGTCAAAGTTCACAAATTAGGGTTTATCCAAAACTACTTCTAAAAATATAGTATTTAATACCATATTCAAAATAATCCAATAAGGATATTTATAAATCCAGAGTATATATGTAAATTTTCATACCAAATTATACATTTAAAAATATATAATTTGTCCCAAAATTATTCAGTTGGGGTATTCTAAACCCAAAATCTATAACTCCAGAATATATGTGTAAATTTTCATACCAAAGCCAAGCAGCATTTACTACCACCACCAAAATAATTCAATTGGGGTATTCTAAACCCAAAATATATTTTCAATATAACCAATTAGAACAGTCTCAAATCATACCTCAACTCATACCAAAACAATCACCAAAATTTTCCAATCCCAAAAGAACAATCCTCAAAAATCACAATTATAGTCATTGCAAACTGATTTGATAAATTCACCAAAAATCACACGTTCATAAATTCCCAGAAAATCATAAATCATCATATCTATACTATAATAAACTAAATATTCATAAAATTTCAGAAAGAATGTCAAATCATAGCACGAACCCTAATTAATACATAATAGGGGCAAAATAGCAGTTTTAGTTGCAATAGTACTTACCTCGAGGCTAGCAACAAATTATAAATGTCAAACCTAGATTTAGGGATCACTCGCTCGTCCCTAGGAAGTTATAGCATCAAAGGATCTCAATTTAGGAGAAAGAAATTAAGAAAATGGATGAACGGCGCGGATTAGGCAACAAACGCACTTACCGGAAGAGATAGAGATTGAAGAGGCGGTCCTAGGGTTTTTGGAATGAGGAAAATCGGATTAGGGATGTATTTATAGTGAATTTCCGAAGTTTGGGTCGCATTAGGATAAAACGGGGAGTCACTTGTTAAATATTTGGGTGTCCCCATGCACAAAGGAATAAATAGGGCTCAATTCTGCATGGATATAATTAAAAAATTTGACTCCAAGGTATCTCCATTTAAGCAGAAAAATTTTTCTATGGGAGGAAGACTAATACTGATAAAACATGTCATTAATACCATTCCCTTACACATTTTGGCTGCAGTCAGATTGCCTAAAAAGATTATACATATTCTTGAAAGCAAAATAGCTGCTTTTCTATGGGGATCCTCTAATAACAAGCAGAAATACCATTGGGTGAGATGGGATCATTTATGCTTTCCAACTGATGAGGGTGGATTGAGCATTAGAAGCCTTTCTGACATTGAGAAAGCCTTCACTTTAAAGATTTGGTGGAAGTGGAAAACAGGAAATTCTATTTGGTCTAAGTTCATTCATGCTACATATCCTAGAGACCAAAATATGAGTCCAAAGATCACTGATTCTCCTATATGAAAAAGAATTTGCTCTGCACATGACACAACTACTAGCCTATGTGGGATGAATGAGAATAGTAGTTTATTTTGAGAACCTGAGATAGATGGGAAATTTTCTTTTAAGTCTGCTGATGTGCACTTGTCGTGAGGTGCACTTAAAATAAATACAATACAATGATTATACGTAGTATAACGAAGTAAGGTTCGTATCCACAGGGAAAGGAATACTTTTCTTTTATATAATGAGTAACAAAGGGGGAGGTTTTGAGTTTGATTTAATTTAATTTAATTAACACTAAGATGAACGACCTATGTGGTTTAATTAATAGAGATGAGGACTTGGTTTTGCTTTTATCCACTTAATGAAATTTTTTGTCGATCCCGGTTATATCTTTAACTATCTTCCTCTCGAATACTCAATCGAGGAGTATATCCAGTTCATCGAGGGTAGTTATTAATAACGAGATGCGTTCATTAATAAAACTTACTATCGAGTCAATATAGAATAAGCGTCGTATATTAACTTGATAGTAGCAATAAACTTAAGATGAAAACGTTTGAGATTGATAACCTCAACACAAGCGGTTTATTGGTTTAATCAATATAATTAATTCCCTTTGAGATATTAACCATGAGATGCATGCATTAATAATCCAAGTTTACTACTGTTGAAAGAACTAGATTAATAACAAGCGTATTAACCGATTGATTCTAGTAATAATTAATATAAGAAACAAAACTAGTTGATACTTTAAGTAATGCTCAAAATATTAATATGGAATATGAATAGGAAAGAATTAATATTCAAGGAAGAAGATTAAAGAAAATAACTCACAACTTACAAATCATTAAGCTTCAAAATAGCAAAACCAAGATGGAAGAGTTTAGCTCCTCATTTGGAGACTAAACATGATGAAAAATATAAAGAAAGAACTATTCTAGACTGAGCTTAGATGTATAAAGGAATTGGATATTTAAGTGTGATGGAAAGGGGGTATATTTATAGGCTTTTGAGATGCAGCTCGGGTACCCGATCGGGTATATACAAGGTACCCGATCGGGTATGTGTAATACCTCAAATTCGAGGTATACTCGATCGATCATTGCCTAAATTTCATAAGCATTCCCGATCGAGTATACCTTTATACCCGATCGAGTATGCTTATAACTTCAGATCCGGGGCATACTCGACCGAATTCAGGTTTGTTTTTGAAGAGATACTCGATCGGGTTTGTCGGTGTACCCGATCGGGTATGGACATTCGATCGTGATCCGAATCTTCGCTACATGATCCTTTGTCTTCGGATCTGATCCGATTTGAAATTTCAACAAGATACCCGATCGAGTATAGGTCATACTCGACTGGGTATAGACCAAAAAATCAGGATCTTCTTTCTTTTTGATTTTTTGCACCTTCCTTCCACTTTTTGGGGTTCACCAACTGTCCTTTGAGTTGATCAAGACCTGTTTGAGCTCAGAATAAACCTAATCTAAACAATTAACAAGAATTTAACAAACTAAACTATTACACCAAAAGTGTGTAATTTCCAAAGTAAAAATCAATCAAAACTAATTAAAAACACAAACATACAAATGGAAATTACAAGCGTATCATCTTCTTATGAGAAAGTTAGAGAGGAATTACCTTCACAGTTCACTTTTCAGCATATCTGGAATCCCAATCTTTCTCTACAGGTGAGACTTTTCCAATGGAAGCTTGTTAAAGGTATCCTGCCCATTACTGATAAATTAACCGGATTTCAAAATGTGATAAATCCATCAATGTGCCCTATCCGTAGACAGAATTCAGATGACCTGAACCACATATTTTTATATTGTGACAAGATTAGACCTGTGTGGGATTACTTTATTGGAATCTTTGGTATTCATTATTATCTCCACAATTCCAATAATATTAGGCAGGTTTTCATTTCTTGGTGGCTCAAAGCTTGTTCTAAGAAGCTCGACGATGTTTTTAAACATTGTTTGTCAGGAATTATAACCTGGTTTATTTGGAAGGCTTACACAGATCTAATTTGGTGAACAAGTACTCAATTCTCTTCTCATGACTCTTTCATTCATCGCATCGAAGCCTATACTCAAGTTTGGGTGTCAAGCATTTCTACAGCTAAGCTTCAAAATGTGGGGAGATTTTTATATGAAGAAAATCTTTTATCTAGTTCTTTTAAACTGAATCGCCCTATGATTCACTCTGTGACATGGACAAAACTTAGCAAACATTATAAACTGAATACGGATGCAAGCTTCTCACCTCAATCTGCAACTGGAGGAGCGATCTTGAGGGATATGGAAGGTCGGTTCATTTTGGCTGCAGCGTTTCCGATTAATGCTTCATCTCCTCTTGAAGCTGAACTCCTTTCGATGCTCTTGGCTACGGAATGGGTGATTGACGAAGGATTCTCCAACTTTCAAGTTGAGACTAATTCTTCCGCAGTGCTCGCTCACATGAAAGAGGTGGCTCAGGTCGATGGAGCTGTAAGATCGGTAAATTGTTGGATATGTCTGAAATCAACGACATTTCTTATTCTAATGTTTGGAGGCAGGCCAATTGGGTTGCTCATTTCCTTGCGAATCAGGATTTGGCCCAATGGACGAAGTATAATATGATGCATGACCTTCCGGCCCGGGCTCGGAATTCGTATTACATGGATCTTTTTTTTGGACTCCCATCACTTCGGATTGGTTTTTAATTTTTTGGGTTGATCGTCCATTTTTTGTATTCCATTTTGTTGTGAGAGACTTTGGTTTGGTCCTCCTCTTTTTGTAATCTTCATTATTTTAATAAAATTCTTGTAAATAACTCCAGGCATTTACCCCACTGATTTTGGTGGTTGACCGTGATAAAAAAAAGTATTAGATGAGAAAGAATGGAAAATATACGCTGGAAAGATTGAGTCGAGCATAAGCCCATGCATGTATGCAGTATGTGAGAAAAGGAAAAAAAAATCTTTTTCTACACATTTTGTTATACACACTTTAGACATCTGAGAATGCAATTTTTATTCACACACAAAAAATAGTCTTTTCATTGATGAGTATATAAGGTGTGTATGAGAAGATGTGCATACGAAGAACTATTGGTGAGAAAAATCGTGACATGGTGAGACTAAAAAAAATAGACAAAGAGGAGATCGAGAGGATCAAGATTGTCTTGTATGTTCTTTAAATAATTATTAAGAACCATTGGGTCATGTTTGGGAAACTTTCATACTAGCTAGGTATTTAAATAGGATCAAACATTAGAGAATAAGAATATAGCTGGTCCAATACTCCAACCTATGTTTTAGTGGAGGAAGAAGCTAAGTGATCTAGCTAGGGCTTGCGGCAATGGTGCGGGTAGGAGGTGGGCGGGCGGGGGCCGAGTAGGGCGTAAGAGTTTGCAATGTGGTGTGCGATTCTCTTGGATTCGACGGCAGCACCCAGCAATCCACGGTTGCTAAACCCCACAGCATATAGCCCAGCACTATTCTCCTCCTGCTGCGGCGGCGTCGGTAGCTTCAGCCAAGAGGAGACGTTGCTTCTGTAACCAGTAGCAAAGATGATGGCGTCAAAGCGCTCCTCTTCTCCATCCACGAACTCCACCGTGTGCCGCCTCACCACTCTTTTAATGCCCGGCCGGACCTTGATCTCCCCGCTCTTGATTTTGGCCAGAGCTCCCACGTCCAGAACAGGAGCCTTGCCCGAGAGGTGCTTCAGCTGCAAGGGCCCCAGCTTCGGGCGGCGGAGACCCAGCCGCGACGTGTCTCCCAGCAGCAAGCGGGAGAGGCCGAGCAGGAGCGCGTCCGCAAGGCGCGGCGGGAGCCACCTCAGCAGCCACATGCCCACTTCAAACGTTGACTTGCCCAGCATCTGCTGCGGCAGCACGTGCACCCTGCCCCTCACCGCCAGGGCGGGGGCGGCGCCGTGGCTGCACAGGTCCAGGCACACCTCCATTCCTGAATTCCCGCACCCCACCACGAGCACTTTCTTCCCTCCGAAGCCCATCCCGCTTTTGTAGGAGCTGGTGTGAATCATGGGCCCGCCGAAGTCCTCTGCCCCCTGGATGCTAGGCGCCACCGCCTCCGCATTCTCCCCCGTGGCCACGACCACCCACCGGCACACGTACTCCTCCTCCTTCTCTTTCTCCTCCTCCTCCTCGTGCTGCTGAAGTTGCGCCTTCACCCTCCAGAGCCCCCCGCGGTACTCCGCTGACACGACGGTGCGGCGGAAGAGTGGGCGGATGTGGAAGCGGTGCGCGTAGGCCTCCAAGTAGCGGATGAAGAGGCGCTTGGAAGGATAGGCGGGGAAGGAGCGGGGGAAGGGCATGAAGGGGAGGTGGCACACGTGCTTGGGGAGGTGGAGGCGGAGGCGGTCGTAGGTCCTGAGCTGCCAAAGAGAGGCAATGCAGTTGCATCTCTCCAGCACCACGCTGGGCACCCCTTTCTCCTTCAAGCACGCCGCCACCGCCAGCCCCGAGGGGCCCGCACCCACGATCACCGCCCCGGCCACCCAAATACTACTACTACTACCACCACCGCGTACAGGATCAGCATTGCGACCAGCTGATCTCTTACACTCTACCTCTCCCACATCTGCACCCATCATCATTTAGTTAATTAATGTAGAGATATGATGATATGATCCAGTTTTTTGGCATATATATATGGGATAAGATGGATATATAATTGAGAGAAATGCTATATACTCCGTAGCGGTAGATTGATCGAGTAGCGCATGCAGCTATTAGCTAGCTTAGAAGATAGATGACACCGCGCGGCCAATATATGTTACTACCTGCCTGGCCTGCATACGTTGAAGCTGCAGCGAAATGAATGGCTAGGCCAGGCACCTCTCCCAATTAGCACTGAGGGAGTAGCTATGTGAGGGAGACTATATATGCGTCTCTCTCTCTCTCTATACCTATACCTACATAAACGCATACGGACTATATCTATACTCACCTCTATTTGCTCTTCCTTTCTCTCTCCCTCTAATTTCACACTTTTTTTAGGTAAATAAATAAACGTTCATATTATGAATTTCAATTCTTATTTTTCAATAGTCCTTTCATATACTTCCTCCGTTCTATAAAAGTTGCAACATTGGAATTTCTGCACCATTCACACACCTTACTTTGACTACGATTTTCTAAGAATATATATAATAAAAAATTATGCATAAAATATTAAAAAATTTGTATTAATGTGAATTTCCAATATATTAACTTTTTTTAATGTTTACTAATACGTAACTAAATATAATTACAGTCAAAGTTGCGCGTTGGCAAACGTGAAAGTCAAACTGTTGCAACTTTTATGGAACGGAGGATAGTATTAAAATCGAGTATATTTAGGTAAATAAATAAACGTTCATTGACGATCAATTAGTTTATTCAAGCTAGTTGTAAAACCTCGTTCATTCAATACTAAATACACTGAAGCCCTTGTTCTTATTTTAATTCGTGTCGATTCATACTTGCTCGATTCTCATTCAATTTATATGAGATTAGTTTTAGCGGCATTGTCTGTGGGAAATTATCTCGCCACCATAACGAATCTCGTCTCTCTCACGCTAGGCTTATCACCAATCGGTGACCCTCAATCCACGGTAATCTCACACGTCATACCTTATGAGCCCCTTGTTCCAGAGATGAGTCCAGTTCCCAACATCCCGATGTGCTTCTTTCCGGAGTCGTTGCGGAGCAGGCCCGTGACGTCAGGTCTACATTCGATCAATCAAAGCATGCCAACTTCAACTGTCGCGTCGGCTCCAACGAAACCATTCATTCCTCTTTTGGGGATCGGGATGTCTGGAGAACCAGGACCGTCAAATTGATTTGTTCCCCTTCCAAATCCTAGACGAAATGTGTTGCACAACCTGTTTGCAGAACCTCAAAGGCAACGAGTTCCAGAACATGTCGACATCTCAAAACAAAGACAACAGGAACCTAAAGTTATCGTCATCCCATCACCAACTAGATAGAAGGAGACCCGAGTAGTTACACCACATATCCCGACGATGAGACAAATGCAGGCAGATCCGACAAACCCCATGTCCATCATCTTGGAACAGCTGAAGGAGATGCGAGATAAAATCAACGGCATTCCTGGAGTACCGCCACCATTGGATATTTCTTCGCATACGTGTTACACAGACTCCCCCTTTGGACGGCATATCACTGACGTCGAGATCCCAAGGAAGTTCGTTGCCCCATCAATGAAGTTGTTCGATGGAACTTTCGATTCCTTGGAACACATTGCACAGTACAAATAGCGGATGTTGGCCATTTTAGTCAGACCAGAGCAACGGGAAGCTTGCATGTGTAGAGCATTCGGGATGACCTTAGCGGGTCCAACGTTGACATAGTTCGTCAATTTTCCCAACGAAGGAATCAACTCATTCGCGGAGCTCGTCAACCTGTTCAACCAACAATTCTTAAGCAGTCGGGTCCTTGAAAAACAGACCAGTGACCTTCACCGAGTAATCCAATGACGAAATGAATCTTTGAGAGATTATTTACACCGTTTCAATAAGGAAATGGTGTCAATCCCAAAATGTGATGTCTCTACCATCATTGAAGCATTCAGAAGAGGATTGTATAAAGATTCGGAGTTGTACCACGAACTAACGAAATACCCTTGTCGGCCCTTCGAAGATGTCCAAGCGAAGACATTGGCTTTCATCCGTCTAGAAGAAGACTTACGATCCCATCGCAGACAAATTGAGCATGAATGGGGGCACGGAAAATCAGAATCTCCCGTGATTACAAGCATGGAAAACCTTTTTCGAGACCTGAGGAACGAGTCGTCACTTCCGTGACGAGATAGATCAGACGACACGATTGAAATCGTCGGAGAGGGGGGCATATCGTCTACCGAGTGTTAAGGGTCATTTACCACCCTAGGGTCACTCTCCCCAACCTGAAGTATTTAGGATCATTTACCGTCCAAGGGTACTCAACCCCATCCTGGAGTTTATTTCCCAAAGGGTACTCAATTCCAACTCGGAGTATTTAGGATCATTTATCGTCCAAGGATACTCAACCTCAACCTGGAGTATTTACAATCATTTACCGTCTAAGGGTACTCTACTTCAACCTATTCTTAACATAATCTTAACTCGGATATGGCTAACATTTCATACATTTCTCTATGGACTATTCCTAATCCTATAATCATATATAAATCCTTAGTAGTCATCATGGATGGTTCCCACCCAGAGCGATCCACATTGAACCACTCAAAACTGCCCATTTGAGTATTTGGCAGATTTTAACTTGGAGGTCAACACCCGTTTGATCGCCCAAACTAAGTCCATTCTATGAAATTTCATACACATACATATCAACTTCCTCAATCCAAAAATACCTTTTTGGATCCCTAGAAGATCATACATATTAAATGATCACATTTTTTATATATAACAAAACTTGCATAACATGTATTTCAACTATGTTCATACATTAATATGGCATGTCACATACTTATATGTATTTAATCATTTCACAAAGACTACTCTTGATTACTTTAGGTAATCTCATGCCTAACTCAAAAGTTACAAAGCATAAAGTCGTCTTCTCACCTTAAATGAAGCTTATGAAATTCTAGCCTCCCCGGTTGACCTCCGGAGAAACTCTGGCGAGCTTTGGCAACCACTCCGGCCACTTCTCAACTCTTTGAGAAATTCAACTTCACCTTAAACAAGTCCTAACAAGGTTTTGTGTCCCAAAGACTCATATTAATAATAACTAGGGAAATTGCCCTAAATGGGAGTACATGAGGCTTGAAATTCCAAAAGAGGACTACTATGTTTTTCTTCCCGAAATAGAAGTTGTTACTGACATGTACGAAAAATACTGCCACGATTGAAAAATATTGTCATTAATTATAATAAATATTATCATATTAAATGCACTGTACTGCAAGATGACAGTAAATACTATCATGTTAGTCCTATTTTGGGAAATCTCAAAAGTCAATTTTCGGCAAACCGGTCTACTTTGACTTCTAACCGTTCTTGGCTAGAAACAAAACTTCCAATCCCTCATTTTACACTTCTAAATGTGCGAGTATGAAAACAGTGATGAAGACGGAGTTTTTGCAGACCTTCTCTCTCCCTAGATGAGGCCTTGGCCGAATGGTTGAGGTTGGGTGAGAGGAACCCCTCCTCTTTTTGTCTCAATAGCAAAATAATATGGGGAAGGATCCACTATAACATCTTCTTCACTCTCAACTCTCAAGCTCCAAATACGGCACCCCATATCAATTTGCATGACGTAACTCATGGGGTGTCCCCACTCATGTGGAAGGTGTAAGGAATAATTGTAATTAGATTTTGATGATGCTAGGATAATTAGAGTATTAAAGTATCCCATTAGAATTTTTGTATTAGAAATTTTCTAAGTGTAATGTTGTAGCATATTCGATGGGACAGAGAACCTCAAGATCTCTGTTGGTTCAGTAAAAGCAACCAGGACAGAAGGTCAGGATTTCAACAGAGTTGCCCTCTACTGCCTTTACCAGAAATGCTCCGTACTTAGAAGAATTCGAAGGAACTTCCACCGGCCGTTAAACTAACATGAAATTCCCTAACGGCTAGGAGCCATTCGACGGAACATGGTACTGTACACGCATTAAATGCTCAATTAATGATGTACGTATGAAGAGATATTTAAAGCTCATGATTGACCATGCGGATATCCTTTCACCCCAAAATAGCAAGTTGAAGAACGAACCGGTCAAGTCAACAGTACAAGCATTTAATGAAGATGTCTTCTACACTCCAACGGGAAGACCGCTCCCAATATATAAGATACACTTCGAAGAACTACCAGGACAACTTTGCTACAATCCTAAAGCACACTTCAAGCTTTTGTGAGATTACAACTTCATCATCTTTGACAAGAAAAGCCTACTGTAGGAAAGATTTCAACTTCATATACTTCTTCCTACAAAAGCAAAGTTCCTCCAGTTCTTCAACACTTCGAAAGCCTCATTTACACATCCTTTGTGAAGAAGCCAAGTTGGAGGAAACTGATCTTGAATCAAACACTTCTTGAAAAAGAAGGGATGTCTCAAACTAGCTACAGTAAGTGAAGTGGCGATACTTCCAAGAGACTCAGTGAAATGAGATCAGCCATCACGAAGCAGGACTGCATCGCGGGTGGCAACTAGGCTTGAAGAAGACGAGGAGTGCTTCTTAAGCTCTAGGGACTAAGGTGTTGTAAACTGTGTTTTTTTTGCAAGATTAGTGGAACAGTGGACTAGAGGAACACATTGTTCATTGAACCACTATAAAAACCCCGGTGTCATTTACTTTACGCATTTACTTCTGCACTTAAGACTTTAACTGTTTAACTCAAAAGGTTGGACTCTGTGTTCAGCAGATCTCCCTTAAGAGTTATCAGAAAGGCATTTGCCTTAGTATTTTCTTGAGGCTACCCGGACAGAACTCAATCCGCTGCCAGGTCCAGTTCTGTCACCAGAACTCGGCCTTCTCTGTCACCAGAACCAGACCTTCTCTGGTAAGTCAGAGTTGACTTAGAGAAAAATTTGATAAACTCGAATAGTCTATTCACCTCCCCCCCTCTAGACTGTTCCCTACATAAACAGCACCAACAAGTGGTATCAGAGCCTCCTCTTACTTGTAATCTTTTAGGTTACTCACTGAACATAGATCCACTTTTTTAGCCTCTTTTAATCTCTTATTATGGATAACACTCTTTCAAAGAATCTGATGTTTTCAGTTACCAAGTTTGATGAATGGAAGATACGCATGAAGTCCCATCTCTGCACACTGCATGATGAAATGTGGGAAGTCCTAGATGCAGGTCCTTTCACTGAGTTCACCAAGGTGAATCCTGAATACACTGCTGGTGGTGGTCAACCCCAAATGATCACTTAGCTTCG